GAACCTTTTCATCATCCAAAACTGAACTCCACACCCGTTAAACACTAACTTCCATGCCCCCCTCCCTCCAGCCCCTGGCAGCCCCCATTCTACTTTCTGTCTCTATGAATTTGACTCTTCTAGGTACTTTAATCATGCGGTATTTGTCTTTTTCTGCCTGGCTTATTTTACTTAGCATAATGTCCTCGTGCTTCATCCATGTTGTTGTGAATTTCCTCCCTTTCGAAGGACCGCAATAACCCCCTATATGCATATACCACATTTTGTTTATCCATTCATCTCTTGGCGGACACTTGGGTTGCTTCCAGCATTCCACTATTGTGAATAGTGCTATGAACGTGGTATGCGAATAGCTCCCCAAGACCGTGCTTTCAATTCTTTTCGGTGGGTATACTCTGAGGTGGGATTGCTGGATCATACAGTAGTTCCATGTTTAATTTTTTAAGGGGCTGCCATACTGTTTTCCACAGCAGCTGTGCTATTTCACATCTATCTCTGGCTCTTCCTTGTACCTGCTACTCCGAAAGGTCTTCGGAGCCCACAGGTGTGTTTTTTGCCCTCCTTCAGCTCCATGTGGCCCACCCGGACAATCTGGCACACGAGGCTGATGCGGGGCCGGATGAGGTCTGTGCTGCTGAGGTCCTGCAGTGGCAGATAGAAAACACATGAGAGGAGGTCAGGCTGAGTCACCTGCCGCCTTCATTCTCTTTTCTTTTCACTGCACGACAGAATATGCTCAAAGCATATTTCTCAATGCTGAAAAACCACAGCAACCCCTTTGACTTCCCCAGACCCATCTGAAAACTTTTATGGCAGAGAAAATAATTTCATATTCATAACAGAAAAGCACTATTCTTCAGTTCCTACTCCAAATTTACAAATGAGATAATAATTGATCTAAAGTTGCTAGTTTATCAAGTTAAGGAGGGTATTTAAAAACCAGGATGCTCATTGTTGCTACTTCCAGGATATATCTCAGTAGAGGATGAATTTCAGTGTCAAGTGAAATAACAACTTGCATAACACTGACATTCATTAGGTGTCATCACAAGCCTGCAATGACGTTTCATTTCATTTTCAAAACAATCCTGTGAAGCAACCATAGCACAGGCACTGTTTTCTATAATTATTCACCCGATTTGCGAGAGGTACCCACTGAGAGCTGCTCAGTGTATGTTATATAATGAGCGGTGTGCAGATGAAATATCAATGTTTTTGGGGGGCTGATGTTCTATATATTTGTAATATTCTGAAGGACGGGTGAGTAAACCCAGGAATGACCTCACATGTCTCATTCATTTTAACATTAGAAATAATTACACCACAAGTTTGTTTTATAAACAGCTGCCCAAGCAAGGCCTCTTTACTGAATCAAGAATGACTTTTTCAATAATCATTTCAAATCCAGGCCCTGTAGTTTTAGTTAATTCGGGTCTCCAAGATAGAAATATATACCAATGATAACATCCACCCTGAATTTCTATTCTAGATTCTGCAAGCCTTCTGTTAACAGAAAAACAAACACTCCAGGTGACAGGTTACATAAACATTGAGGCACACTGATATAGTAGACCCTTTATCCTTGAGGGATATGTTCTAAGACGCCCAGTGGATGTCTGATACTGCAGATGTTCTGAACCCTACTCATGCTATGTTTTTTTCCTATATATACATGCCCATGATAAACTTCTCACTTTTCACTTAATGGAAGCACTTTACAGCTTCTCTTTGGTATATCCGAATTTCCAACATCACTACTCTGGGGCTTTGGGGCCATCTTAAGTAAAATAAGGGTTACTT